AAAGGGAGAAAGAAAAAAAAAAAAAGATATAGATAGAGCAGGAGATATTAGGAAGGAAAAAGGTAGAGTAGAAGATATTAAGCAAGAAAAAGGTAGAGTGAGAGATATTAGAAAAGAAAAAGCTAGAGTAGGAGATATTAGAAAAAAAACAAAGTAATACGGAAACAAAAAAAAAGAAAGCTATACAGATGATAATAATAGAGATAACAATAGAGTAGTACTGTAGAAATAAAAAAGAAAAAAATAGAAGAGAGACAAAAGAAAAAAATAGAAGAGACTGAAGAAAGTGAGAAAGAAATCTTTTCAGATAATTTGCTCTCTGAACATGAGGCAACTTTAAGCAAACTATTAATAGCTGAAGTAGCAACAAAAATAGCAGCAACAAAAACAGTAGTAGCAATAACAGTTGTAGCAAAAACAGCAGCAACAAAAATAGTAGCAACAAAAATAGCTACAACAAAAACAGCTGCAACAAAAACAGCTACAACAAAAACAGCAACAGCAAAAACAGCAGAAGCAATAATAGCAGCAACAAAAACAGCAATAGCAAAAATAGCAGTGGCAACAACAGGAAAAAGTGCTAATGAACCAATAGAGATAGTAATACCAGTATTAAGTTTATTAAGAGGTAATTCACTTTCAAAAGGATCTAGTAAACTATCAATATCAAAAAAGGCAATCAATAGAACTAAAAAAAAATTAACTAAAAAAATATCTGAAGAAGATGATCTATTAATATTCGAAGCAGAAGAAGTTGAAAATGAAGAAATTGAAGATAAAGAAAGTGAAGAAGGTAGAGAAGAAGATGGTGAAGAAGGTAGAAAAGAAGGTAGAGAAAAAGGTAGAGAAAAAGGTGAAGAAGAAAGTGAAGATAAAGACAAAAGAAAAAAGAAGAAAAAAAGAAGAGATGATAATGATAAAAAGTCAAAGAAGAAGACAAAAAAGAAGTAATAGTTTATAAATATATAATTTTTATTTTATTTTATTGTATTTTATATAATAACTAGAGAATAAAGAATATCAGCTATATATTACTATACGTAAAAAAAAAAATAAAGTAATTGTTAAGGTGATATTTTAGTAAATATAAATATCAAATAAAATATAATTAATAATTTGATAATTTAATAATATTTGTATCATAAAAATATTTTGAAGATATATAAAATAAGCTAACTAATATTTATAATATTATAATAATAATATTATTATAGAATATATTGTGTTTCAGTAAATAATTAGTAAAAAATCATCAAATATAATTAAAATATCTGTTTTATAGTTTGTAAATAAAATAAGATGATTGATTTATCATAAAAATTTTGCTAAAATATCAGTTTAATTAGCAAATTTTTAAATAAACTAGCTAATAATATATTAGCTTATAATTTATCTAATCATAGTATATCTTTAAACTTACTAATAGCATATCACTACAAAATTATATAATAATCTTATATCTGATATTTAAGTATTTTAATCTGGCTATAAACTAATATTTGATATATTTTACTAAAATCTTTAGCCTATTAGCCTATTATTATCACTAAAAAAATCTAATTATAGTCTTCATCATATCAGTCTGTTATCTCTCTATTTGATTATGTACAAATATTTGAATAATAATTTAATTTTGACTAGTGAAAGAAATTTACAAAAACAAAAGATAAGCAAAGCAGATATACAAACTAAGAAAAAAGTTAGAACAATATCAAAAAAGAAAAATAACTAAATTAGAATTAGAAAGTCTTATAGAAATTAACAAGACATCTCTTAGAGTAGTAACAGAACTAGCTGAACTAACAAGAAGAGATATTTATAAGTTTTTAATTATAGAAAAAATATAATATCTGCTTAAAGAACTTAGTATAGAAGAAGCAAAATCCTGTACTGAACTTATCAAGAAAGAAGAGCTTTTGCAAAAAATACAATAAAGAATAAATACAAGATGAATAGAAATACTCAAAGCTAAGACAATTAAGAAACAAAAATAATGAAATGAAGAAACTATAATGAAGATAAGCCTACAAATAAAAGAAGCAACTAGAAGAGCTTTATTAAAGCAACAAAGAAAAAAAAAGAAGCTTTCAAGAGAAGAGCAAAAAAAGAAAAAAAGAAGAACAAAAACTCTAGAAATAGCAAAAGAAGAAATGTAGAAAAATAGAAAATAGAAAAAGTCTTAGAAGAATTTAAAGAAGAGACAAGACTAATAATACAAAAAAAAGATCAAGATAGTCTCAAAAATAACAAAAAAGAAAAAATAAAAATATGAAGAATAAATCTAACTTAAAATAAAAGAAAAGAAAAGAAGATAAAGCTTAGACAAAATAAAAGAAAAACAGAAGCTCATAACCTCTGGAAGAATTAGAAAAGGAAAAAGAAGAAACAATCTAAAAGATATAACTTTAGAGAAGAAGTTTAATTAGTAATACAGAAAAGTGATCAAAAAGAAGCTTATAATAGTACAGAAAAAGAAATATGAAAATGCAAAGCAAAACTAGAAGAAAAGATATTTTGTTTAATCAGAAAATCTGTAAATAAATCTAGTAGAAAAGTTTGGAAGAAAAGAAGAAAAAAAGAAAATCTTATAAGATAAATATGAATAGATGAATAGAAAGTAGAATAAAAGATAGTAGTTTAGAAGAGATATTTAGAAAAGTTAAAAATTTATGGATAAAGAAGGATAAAGTGGTAGAAAAGATATAAAGTAGTCATGATAGACTGTGGTATCTATCTATACTTAGAAAGTTGTAGTTACAGAATAGTAGCAACAATAATCTAGTATAAAGGTCACTATAGCAAATCACATATGAGGTATTCTCAATTAAAACAGCTCATATTTACATATATCTCATTTAGAGATACTTGAGTTTAATTATTTGTTTTGATTTTTAGACTGATCCAAATTAACCAAATTTCATGATTTTGATTGGTTAAAAGTAACATACTTAAAATAATATTTGGTAATCTACTAGTTATATTTAGATATAAAGGTCAAAAAATTAAAAGTTTATTTGGATTTTTTATAAATATTATTATAGCAATAATACATAAAACAGAATAAACAAATTTAAGCAAAGTAACTAAAATTATAATTTATAATTAGAATACTAACTCTAGTATAGAGTTAAACTAAAAGATTATATAAAACTTGTTTAAAAAAATACAAAGAAAAAAATATATTAGTATAAAAGTTTGATAATTTAGTATAGTAATTAAATTACCAAACTGCTATATAATAGATCTAGAATTTAAATTCTACTATTAACAAATTTAAATAATTTCTCTAACCTTGTGATATATTATAATAAACTCTGTTTATTTTTAAAGACATATCTCTATAAATTGAGTTGTACTAAATTAATCTAAATATGAAAGTATAATATAATATTACACAAATAAATTTTAATAGAATATACAAGTAGAAGATCAATATAGTAGAAATCTTGAGTTAATAAAGTAATACAGCTTTCTTATAAGACTATATTAGTTAAAATCTAATTTAAAAAGAAAACTCAGTCTAATAAAGATAGAAAATTTTAAAATCTCTGAGTAAAGAATAACTAAAACTAGCTAAATACAGAAAAAGACTAAATTAACTAACTAATAAAAGATTATAATAGAATCTAGAATTGTATAAATATCTACAAGAGTCTAATCTAAATAAATATATAAAATAGATATAGACTACTCTAGTAGGTTTGTTTTAAGGTTAACTAACTTTGCAATATCTACAATATATTAAATATAATATATTCTGAGAGAATCTAAACTATTCTAAATAAATAAATTCATAATAAACTAGCTAGCTAGCTTAAATAGTTAGGTATTGTAGTAATATTAGATTGGATCTGTATAGATTAATAAACAAATTATTTAAATAAATAACTTATAAGCAAATTATAGATATAGTAACATAGTATAGAACTAATTAAATAGCCTAATATATATATAATAGACTACTTAAAATAGATAATAATTGAAGTTATATATGTAGCTTATTATATACTCTTCATATAATTACAGACAATAAGCATTATCAATATATAATCCTATTTGTAATACTAATAAAATTTCTTTAGCAATATAAGCTACATTTAATATAAAAAAAAAAAGAAAAAATATATTAGTTTAAAAAAAAGTAAAGTACTCATATTTTGTATAAAATATATAAATAAGATTTTGTTTATAAAGGATATTTGCTATCTAAAAAATTCTAAATTATACAAAGTTAAAAATGTATAATATACTTCAAAGAAGATAAAACTTTTTACCACTTAGTAAAATACAAAATTTATTAAAAAATTTAGAAAAATTTAGAAGAAAAAACTATTTAGCTAACAGATTTAAAAGTACTAATAAAACTAGATCTATTACTTAATAAAAACTTTTTTAAAGAAGCAATTTATAATAAAAAATTAGAAAAAAAACTAAATAATAGAAAGATATATCTAAAGAATTCACAAATATCAAATAGCTAACCTATTTAAGCAAAGTAATTTAGTTAAAAAAAAGTAAATAAAGTTTTAGTTAGCTTTATAAAGTATTTTTAAAAATGCTTCTATAAATAGTTATAGAAGTTTTAGTACAAAGTTATAGTAGAATAAAAAAAGAAAAACAATATTATAGTAAAAAAAAAAAAAAAAACAAAGCAAAAAGAAAAATAAAAACAAAAAAATATATAACCTCTTGATATAAAAAAAGAAAATATAAAAGAAAAAAAGTAAAAATACAAAAAGAAGTTCTAAATAAAGTTAACAAATAAATAAAAACTAGTAAAAAAAAAGAATGTATTCAAATTAAAATAAAATAAGTAACTTGATATGAGCTAATAATAGCTTATTGATCAGAAGTTTAGAATTTGTATATGCAAACTAAAACTTTTATAAAAAAAATTGTTACTATAACAAATTATACTTAAATACTTGAAAGTAGCTAAATAAGTTTAAAATAGTTGAAGAAGAATACTTTATTATAATTTAGATAGTAATTTACTTTGTAGTTTATGTAAGCTTTTCTTAAATAAAATGATAAGTAAGATTGCCAAAAAAAATTTAAAACTATAATTTCTTAATAGAAATTATAGTTTAAATAAAGAATAACAACTTTAATTATTACAACTTTTATAATTTACTTGTAAAAATTAAAACATTAGAAGTAAAAAAAATTTTTATAGATAGTAAATATATAAACTTTTAAAAATTTAAAAAAATTTATAATAAAAGTTTAAAACAAAAATTTCAAGTTTTATTACTTTTAATTTTTTAATAAATTTAAAAATTTTTTTTTTTTTAATAAAGTTATTAAAATACAGTATATTAAAAATAGGGATTTAATTTGTAGTGCTATAGCACCATAGTGCTAGGACAATATAGCCAATCAAAATAAAAGATCAGGTGTAACGTAAAATTGATGCAATTTTTAAAAACAGAAAATAA